TACTAGTAGCGTCCTTACTCCTAGTAGCGATGCCCTTTGTTCCTATAGCTTCTTGCTCCTAGTAGCAAGGCCAGGAGCTACTAGTAGCGTCCTTACTCCTACTAGCGATGCGCTGCAAGCAAGCTCGGCCTGAGAAGTGGTGCTCCCACTCGTTCTGTGTGGAGAAGACCACACCCACGGTGCGCAGACCTTCTTGGTGTTCGAGGAACACTTCCTCGTTGTGGTCTTTTGGTAAGCTGGGGTTCGAGTCCCCAAACATGTTGTGGCGAACAGGCGAAGAATTCCTTGCAAGATCCAGCCTTTCGGTTTGGGCTGTTTAATCATGCATTGAAGAACGTTTGAGACAAACACCAGGCATTGAAGCCCAAGAGATGTCTGGGTCAGTGGATTTTGTTGAGGCCTTGAGACCTGGCAGTTGGGCTTGATCTCCTTCGGCCCCGCAGTCGCGCACTGAGGGGGGATGGGTCATAGAAAGGCATGGATGATACTTTCAAGGCAGGCAAGGCCTTGCAAGGCGGCAAGTTGAGAATACGGTCGTTTGTACCATGTTTCATCTCTTTCCTGCCTGGTGCCCTCTGATATTCGATGAAGCAGTCAGAATTCTTGGCAGACCGGGCTTTGTGCCAGCCATTCACCCACCGAAAAGTGTGGTTGAGCTCTGTTAAGCCTGAGAGCTGCAGAAGAAGTGGACATGTCACAAGAGTTGCTACTAGGAGCAAGGAGGCTACTAGGGGCTCCTGGCCTTATTACTAGGAGCAAGAAGCTACTAGGAGCTCCTGGCATCGCTACTAGGAGCAAGGACGGTGTCACTGAGGTTTTAGACTTTGGAAACGTCTATGTCAAGTCCACGGTGGTGAAGTCCTTCTCAGTCTTCAATGACCTTCCACAGGCGAGAACAATCAGCAGACATGGGGAAGCTGGTCAAACTCGCCGGATTCTTTTTGTGAGCTTCAAATCGGATTGCTAGCACACTTAGTGACTGCAAGTACAGCTTCATTTGGTTCAAATACTCTCTTTCCAACCTTTGAATCGCTTCTTGAGAATCGCTGTGCACTCAGACAAACTGGAACCTTCTCCCGCCGGTACCGATAGAGATTTCCAGGCCAAGCCAGCAGTGCACCGCAATCAGCCCCTAGCCATCCCTAGCCCTACTCCACATCTGGCCATGGCTCGCTCCCTCGTCTTGACCGGCGCTGTGCTGCTTTGCTGCGGTGCATTCCTCACGGCCTTTGTGCCGGCCCCTCGCAGCTCCCACGTGTCTGCCCCTGCCGCAAGCACCGGCACCGCAGCAGCTCTGACTGCGGCCACTTTGGTGACACCACAGGCAGCTTTCGCCGATGAGGGCTCTGTCTGGATCCCCGCCCTGTCCGCCATCGGGGCCGGCTTCGCCATTGGTTTGGCTGCCATCGGTTCGGGAGTTGGCCAGGGCATTGCATCCGGCCGATGCATTGATGGCATCTCCCGCCAGCCAGAGGTTGCAGATGACCTGCGAGGTGTCCTGCTGTTGTCCTTGGCATTCATGGAGTCCCTGACCATTTATGGCCTCGTGATCGCCCTGGTGCTCCTTTTCGCCAACCCTCTCATCAAGTGAGGTGGTGATCAAGTGAGAGGATGAAGCATTTTGAATCATGCTATCTGGATCTTAAAGAGGTGATTGAAACATTTTGAAACAAACAATAAACCACCAACTGTGTATGCTGTATTCACATGTGTGGACGATTGACTACAAGAGTTCGATTGGAGGTGCAGGTAGCCGAATATCTTTCTTTCTCCGCATATAGATGGAACATTGGAGCGCGAGCTCGAAAGGACGTTTTCGCGCTCACGCCCCCCCGGTTTCTCTTGATGGATTCTCCACGACACTGAGTCAGCCGGTGTCGGCAAAGTAGGAATTCCATGGCTTCTTGTTTTTAGTAGTAAGGCACTTGTTACTAGTAGCGATGCACTTTGTTACTACTAGCTTCTTGTTTCTAGTAGTACGGCCAGGAGCCCCTAGTAGCGCCCTTGCTCCTAGTAGTAAGGCCAGGAGCCCCTAGTAGCTTGGCTTGCCTAAGACCTTGGCAGACATTCCATTGCTTTGGCCACAGGCCATTCTGGTGGCCATGCAATATGATGCGGAGGAGTTGAGCCGATCCACCCCAACCTCGCAGGCGTGGCACTGGGAAGTTTGACACGGGCTCGAAACTTGTCAAAGTTGATCAAGTTTGTATTGGGACCAGGGTGGACAAGTTGACAAGGGGTGCATGGTGTCAGGGTGGGCAGTGCTGTACATGTTCCCTTCTTGGTACGCTGAACAGGTGGTGCCCTCTGCACATGCTGCTGGTTTTGATGTCTCAGTGTGCTCTGCCACGCCGCAGAACTTTCAGAGACAGGCGCAGTCTGTCCCCCTAGAGCCAGGGTGTCGCTGTGAGTCTCTGTTGTTTGGGTTGAGATGCTCTAGAAGTCGCTTCGTCAAGATTGACTAGTTCTGATTTAAATGCCGAACTATATAACTGATTAAATTATAGTTGCTTAATGCGGCAGGTGGTCTATACCATCAATGGTATCCACCCCTACAAGTTGCTTGTCAAGGCTGGCAAGGGTTCGTGTATGGAGATAACTTTTTGACAGGAGGCAGTCACAGATCCAGTATGTAGCAATGGAGTGGCATCGGTTGGTGCTAACCGAGCTGTAAGCATTCGGAGTGGCTTTCGTTGTTCCAGCAGACTTCAGACTTGTCAACTCCACATTCATCCTGCAGATGGATCGACCTCATACAAGATGTCTCCTCTTGAATCCCGTGGGTTTGGCGCCGTGCTCGCCTTCGTCGAAGCGTTCGTCGAAGGTGCGAGCAGCCTCGTTCGTCCCAAGGCCACCATCACACCGGTGCAGATCCGCATGTCCCGGGCGGATCTCAACTTCCGCTTCAGCGAGGAGGGAGAGACGACGGAATCACTGCTGTGACGAACGTGTTTGGGGGACGGAAGACTTTGTAGCGTCCAAGGAATTGTCTGATCCATCGGAAGACCTTGATTAGATTGAAGGAATAGAACACGCAATCATTCAGTGCGTTCAGCAGTTTCCGGCACGACGCCCACAAGGACAGCCTTGAAAAGACTTTGTCGGAAAAGCTTCTTGTCTGAAGCGCTCGCAGAGCTTTCGCCAACTGTGCTGGACCCTGCTTTCTTGTCATCCTCTCACCCTGTTCCTTCCTTTTTCAAAGCTGCTCCCCCAAGGGCCTTTTCTTGTAGTGCGGCTCATGCTTGCATTAAAGTATTGTGTCTCCCACCCGGGACACTAGGGGCTCCTGGCATCGCTACTAGGAGCAAGGACGCTACTAGGGGCTCCTGGCCTTACTACTAGGAACAAGAAGCTACTAGAGGCAAAGGGCATCGCTACTAGAAGCAAGGAGTGCCGGCAATCGTCGCTGCGTCGTGAGGCTCATGCTGGACAATCCGGGCAACGCTCCTGCGAAGTTCAGCCACTGAGCCAGCATTGGTCAGTCTGCGTGCCGCACTTTTTTTGTTAAAATGTTTAATCCAAAAGAACGAACATGGAAGGTTTTGCGGGTAGGGAGTAGGAGTAACAATGAGTAAGACTCGTCCGACGGATGGGTTCTGAGGCTTCGTGCGTTCTCGTTCTCTCCACACCTTTCCATTGAACATTGAACATGGGTCAAAGCCCGGGGTGCCCTGGTTGACCACCGACAAATGAACAAATTTCTCTTGGCATCGCTACTAGTAACAAGAAGCTACTAGGGGCTCCTGGCCTTACTACTAGGAGCAAGGACGCTACAAGGGGCTACGTTAAGGATGTCAACCTACCATGGTTTGGTGGGGGAGGTGCCATGACTCTCAGCCGTCGCCTAAGGCTGGCAGGGTGCGAACCAATCCTTCGCCGTCTCACCGGTGAGCGGTGTGATTCCTCGTGGCGGTTCTCAAGGGGTTGAGGCCCAGGATTCACTTGGTGAAGCGTTCACTTGCAAGTGACACCCGGAGAAATGATGTGTGTCCATGTGTGTGTGTTTTCCCATGTGTTCGCGACGTTTGATCATGTTTTGCAATGTTTTCGCCACGGAGATGCTAGAACAGCAGGAGAAGCAGTCATTTTGCGTTCACAAAAGACCTTGGACCTAAGACTTCGGAACAAAGAACGCACATTCATGAAGGTCAAATATTTTTGTGAAGAGAGATTGGAAGCGACACTGTCACACCGTCATATCTGACATGACTTTTCTGGAAAGACTTGATGAGTTCATCCCTATAGCAAAGCTGACGCAGTTCTTGACCTGTGGTTCAAACTAGAGGAACCACGGAGCCAAATCGAAACCGGTGGTTGCAGGTGATTTTCACTCCGCCCAACAGTGGGCAGACAATGGAGGGCTACTTGACCTTGAAGGCCCGAGAAGTTGACCGTGAGGTCAACGTCAGATGAGTTCTTCTTTTCTCCGTCTTTCTGTCAGAATTCATCTCATCGTAGAGTGGCCAAGAGAGAAACCTGAAACTCCGAAGAATCCCTGTGAATTTAAAGTCGAGGCCTCGGGTGCACTTGAGCCTGCTAGGTGGAGGATGGCAACGACCACAGCCTACGCTGTGTCGGGCAAGCCCCTGAAGCGACACTGAACTTTGGCGTGAAGAGGTCGGCTGTGAAACTGCTGGGTACTCTGGGTGCACTATCGGTATTTGAATCTCGTGTGTGTTCCATCACTTTTCGTACCCACTATGCGCGATTTGAACGGACAATTCTCGCATTCTGCAATCTTCTCAAGGAAAGAGCAAGGGTCACAGTGATTTTGCTTGCCCATGCTGCAATGAAAGCCGCCATGTGCATGAGCATCCGGAGATCGGATGAGATCGGGTCATTTGTCACGCTGGCAGGTTAGACCTTGGCGTATTGGCTGTGGGGCTACCAGCAGATCGTTCCATTCCCATTGTGAATGGTGGCAAGAATGTGGCGGTCTATCATGTGTCTCAGTTGCAAGATGGACAGGACAATTATTTTACTTTGCATGAAGTCGCTAGCTCAGTACGTTTTGCTGGAGGGGCTTCAACAAAGTGGCAGATGATTTTGAGGTGGACAGCGTGCCAGACGGGGTTGGCATTTCTCCAATGCGGGGGCGAGTCTTGCCAGAGGGACGGGCTGAGATCGATGTCCACGTGCTTCTTGATAGGCAGGGCCTGGCAGGGCCGCAAATCACATCGATACTTCCACTGCAAAGCACAGCGTAACACTGCCAACTTGAGCGATAGCATATGCGATCGCTTGGTCATGTTTGATCAATGACGAGTTGATAAAGTGACGAACCGTGTCACAGCACCGGTCGCGAACCTGCTAGGCTTGCTAGGACGATCAGAAGCACAACCCAGCAGGATACAGCAGGTTTTTCTTTGCTTTGCTGGCTGTGTATCTTTGAAAGCTGAATGGCCCCCTAGTGTCATCCCGTGTTGGTGTAGGAAAAGAAGAACGAACGGGAACAAAGAAGTTAGGGCCCCTTTACCAGGGGGAGCAGAAAGCCTTACCTTCCTTTTCTCATCTCGTTTATGTTCTTTTAAGATGACGGCTGGCTCCTGTCTGTCATCGAGCGGAGAGGCCGATGCAGCTGGAGTCTGCAGTGACCCTGAATGTCCGTGGAGGTATCTTGACGTCTGACTGGGCCTGAACTGGGAACTGGATGTTGAGTCAGAACAAAATTCCAATGTAGCAAGTCCCCTCTTCTTGGACCACAGGGCTTTGCCTTGATGGGGTGTGCCCAACCGCCGCCAACGCTAAAGCGCTTGGCCGCCCGGTTTGTGTGTCCAAGGCAAGCCGATTCGATTGCCGATCATGGCAACTGCAGTGAACCCTAACATTGAGTTCATGGAGGTGGGGGAAAGTGATGGTAAGTGATACGTGTCAAGAAGAGAACCCCCACAATCAATGCCGTAAGAGTCTTTTGTTTGGTTCTTCACTTTGGTGCATCAAAGGTGAAGAAGCTTCACGCGGAAGAACAGAAAGAACATGAAAGAACCAAGTGAAAGAAAACATTGATTTGAACTTTGGACACTTCTGGAGCCCTGAAGGATGAAATCGAGTTTGGCCAACTGACACTTGGAGCACAAGGCGACATATGCAGGACGCAAAACCTTGAACTTTGAACCATTCTTGGAAGGGCACCAAGAGCTGCTTTTTGTGCTTCACGCAAGTGGAAGATTTTTACTTGTTTTCCTGAAGCTTTATGCTTGCTGCACCTTTTTACAATATAATGTATTTGTTTCAAATTGCATCAAATTGCTACATTGCAGCTCAGCTTCGAAGGTAGAATGCTACGCACCATTCTCTAAGTCCACAGTAAAGTTGTGGTCATAGTGGAGTTGAACATTTGGTCGTTGGTCTCCGAAATGCAATCTAAACTGAAGGATTGCTATTCGACTGAAGTGCTGTAAACACTGACCGCTGTAGTAACCCCTTGAATGAGGGCCTTTTGAAGTGGCCCAAAACTATTTTCTTAACGTTTTTCTTATTTGATGGACACCATTACCAGTGATCAGCTGCTGTTGATTTCGCAGCGGCCCGAAGTAGTTGTCCCACGACTTCGCGACTTGGGCCAGGTGTCGTCCCCATCTCCTTGAAAAATTCTTCGGCTGTGGAAGGGACGCACTATGCAACTGGCCGAAAGGAGGAGTGGGAGGCTCTAGTTGTCTGAGTAGGTCAAACAAGTATCTTCGTGTGGTGCTGTTATCTTCGCGCGCTTCCGAAATCGAAAGATCTTCCCTGCAAGTTGATGCCCCACAAAAAGATATTCGCTGCGTTTTTTCGAAGACCATCAAGATCTCGTGGTCCATTTGTAAGTCACAACCTACCTCATGAATCATGAAGCTTTTACGAGGAAAACAAGCCTCACACGCACACACACACATGCACATAGAACTACATTGCCTAAGAACATGCAGTGCAAAGGCACCGTAGAGATTCATAGATTGCACGGAAGTGCAGCAGTCACAAATCAATACGCATGGACGATCTCCAATTGGGAGAGAATATTTCCTATGCTTACCTCTGAGTTCTGGGAACCTCCGATCAAGTTCAAGCTTACAAAGAAGAATCAAAGCTAAGTTGGATGTGTGATGGATGAAGAGAAACTTTGCAATCCTTTAGTATTAAAGGGGACCAAACACCAGCCTTTTTCCTCTCATATCTCTCATGTGGTTGTAAGCTCGAGTGCTTCTGTGTTTGCAAGAATTCCTTTTCGGCATACTCACGTCACTCCTCGGGTTTTTGATAGATTCCGCTGGCCTTTTGAGGTGCTTGAGGCAGGTTGCAAGAAAATTACCTAATCCTGGTATGTTTTGATATATGAACCCTCACACCACACAAGCCGGATGAAGACATCCAACGCCTCAATGGCTCAATGGCCCAGTCAGTGAGGTCAATCTGCAGCCGTACCCCGAGTTCAGCCTATCCCTCTTGGAAGAGCGGCAAGATACCGAAACTCGGCTGATGGAATCTTCGTTTGTCCATGGAATGCGCCAGTGGGGCTTTGCGTGTTTTGTTTTTTCTTTTTGCCCCTGCCATTTGGCACGCAAGGTCTATGACGCAGATTATGATGCAAACGCCTTGCAGCCGATCTCTTTGCAGCAGTTCTTGGCTCAGATGCGTTGAAGCGGTTGTCAGTGTAGGTGATTGGCAAGACGGTGTTGATTGTTTGTAGGACTCTTCTGTTTTTGTATAAGCGTTGATTGTGAAGAGTTTGCTTTCGAATAATCTGGGTTGGCCGTTTCATCCGATTCCCGAATATCTTGGAGTTTCACTGATGCCTGGTGCTGGTGCGAGGTATCAGCTGGCCATTGGTGGCGTTACAGAGGCCCAAGCTGCACCGTCTGCCACCATCGGCAACAAGACGGCCCTGATGGGTGCAACCCAAAATGCGACACAATTGGTCCCTTGGTGGCAAGGCTTGGAGGCCACTGAAGGCGGGCTTTCCAGGTAACAGAGACTTTGGGCAACATGAGGATCAAGCAAGCTTGCGTGAAGGGTCTTCCTGGATTTTCTTGGACCTGACGAGCTAGAGCTGAATCTTCAGTCTACACCCCCGTTGAGCTTCCAAGCATCCACTTGGCACCCACGCAGAGCCAAGGGCACGCAGAACGAAGACGAAGATGAAGAATCCAACTCCCAAGTCTACAAGATCACCGTCTGAAAACTTAGCCGGACCGAGAGTGGCCACGAAGTTTTGTTCCAATTGTTCTAAGACGACGACGAATCATGTCAATTATACTTATGTCACTGTCTGCCTTTTTTTGGAGGATGGTCTAGTCTGGCGAGCTCTGCTTCGTTATGTTCATTGCGTATCCTGTACATAGTCTATCTAATACGGTATGATGGGTGTGAATTCTGCTGTGGAAACAAGTTGACCATTGTGATTCTGATACTAGTAGTAACAAGAAGCTGCTAGTAAACAAGTGCATCGCTACTAGTAACAAGTGCCTTACTACTAGTAACAAGAAGCTAGTAGAAACAAGTGCCACGCTAGTAGTAACAGGTGCCTTACTACTAGTAACAAGAAGCTATTAATCTCAGAAACGTTGAGTTTCCCCAAACATCGATCCATTTTGACCCTGCGAAGGGTCCAAGGAAGCTTTCGCCCGAGCCCTTCTGCGTTCAAGGTAGATTCCTCGTTATATATATAACCATATATATATATAGTACACACATATATTGAAACAAAAGAAGATTTATAAAGAAGAGAACCAAACACCTTCCTTTCATCTCCTTTTTATGACAGTTTGTTTGCATCTTCATTTATTTTGAGGTGCAACCCAACTACACGCTCCACATGCAGCTCACCTACAAGCCGACGGACTTGGGCCTCTTGGAGTTGGTCGGCTTCTGGTAGAGCTACGTGAGCTGGGGATTAACCGCGGTGAGCTGGGTGAGCTAGGCAAAGTAGTGAGGAAGAAAACATGCCAATGTCCAAAAAACCATGAAAAACCGGACTGCCGGGTTTGATGCTCTATTCAGCTGAGCATCCTCATCCACATGCCAAGAGGCCCCAAAAACGCATGGCGTCCTGCGGGCCGACGCCTCGTTTCGGAACCTGGATTCGTCTCGTTTCGGACCCTGGATTCGCCTTGTTTCGGAACGCGGGTGAAATGGTCTCCCGAGGCTAGGAAGTGGTTTCTGGGAAGTGGTTTCTGGGAAGTGGTTTCTGGGAAG